ATGCCCTATCTAGTTTGAACCTTTCTCTGTATCCATCAGGCATGCCTGGATACTCAACATTGTCAGCAAAAACAAAAATAATCAATGAATATATAAAAACATTCATTCTCAGTTAAGACATCTTCTCAACTACTAGTTACCAGAGGTTGTATGTGGAATGATAGTAATATCTGCAACCACTATGGAATGCTGTGTCTTCAGAAAGATGTAAAATAGCTCCAGTTTATAATGTGCTACTACATTCCAAGTGTTTTATACTTACAATTTCTAATCTTTGCATATCTCTGTGAATTCATTATCTCCTCATCTAAGAGATGAAAATAGGAGAGACTGATAGCCAGACACACTTCCCCAACATCATACAGCTGATGAGAGTTAGAACTGAGATTCGGAAACATGAATTCAGCTTGGTATTGGGAAATCCTGCTCCTCCAAGCTAGGCCAAGAATAAATATTATCAGAAATTTAGGAGGAACTAATCCTCTTTAAACTTAGGGGCTCACAATTTGCCCCACCCCTGTAATAGTCCCAGCTTATCATTTGTCCATGGACCAGAAGTTTTAGTAGTTTCTGGGGTGATTGCCTAACATGGTAGAAGGGCTGGTGTTTAAATGAGATGGACCTAGGTCAGAATTTTAGTACTTTCTACAATTACTTGTGAGACCTTCGATCATGTCAGTAACCTTACCTACATTTCAGTTTACTTTGTTTGGAAAATGTATGTTACAGATTTGCATTCCATTCCACAATGTAGAAATATAGAAAGGCAACTTTTTATTTTTTCAATGTAGCTAAATTTCTATTTTTAGCTCTAATTCTGCAAAGGAGGTAGAGATATATTCTTAGTAGACTAGATGCCCCACTACTCACTGCTTTTATTATGGAATTTGAGGAAGCTTACATAGATATCAGTGGCAAACAATAAAAAGGCATAATTCTAAGTATCACCTGGATCACATAAGCCCAGCATTCTTTACTGTTTTCTTTAGACTTTGATTCACAAAAGTTATCATAGCACTGTCTATGAGTCTGATGACTCTTTTAGTTCATTATTACCACTTATGAGGCACACGAGACTTCTCCTGATTCCAAAGAGTTCTAGGCCAAGGGAACCCTGATGACACTACATTCTCATCTACCTAGTAAAGCAATTGCCATTTCTCCTGTAGGATTTTGCCCTACCACTGGGCTCTAACCAGAATACAACCCAGCTGTGGGCATTCTCAGCATATTTACATCCCAAAGAGCTCATTTTTAACTCTCCTCTATATTTCAAAATTATATTTAGTAATTATTATGAAATGACATAAAATATAATAACAGTTAAAAAGAAAAGGAGTAAAAATTGTCTTTCATTAAATTTGGCGTATATAATTATGCCAGTAAAAAATAATGAATAAAAATGGTAATACAAAAAAGAAAAATAGATTTATGCATTTTTATTACATTAATGTATGGATGGGTAAGAGAGAAAAATATTTAAACAATTAGTGCCCTATTGCTGTGATAACACTATTATAATTTAATAATAATGAAAATAAAAAGATGAAAGTTTTAAATATAAAGGACATTACTTAAATTCAATAAAATATTTATGCTACGAACTAAAACATATCCTTACCAAACAAAAGTATTATTTGTTATGTTTCAGACTCCATTTTACTATTTTAAATGTTAAAGCACAAATAAAAATGTCATTAATCATATATTACGGCAGAAGTAAAGTAATTCAAGTTCTGTTTTCATGTTTTTATAATTATTGTGCTATCACTGTTGCTTCTGAATATTCTTTTAAAAGGTAGTGTATAAAATCATCAACGATGCATGAGAACAAAGATAGCTCTCAACATTTAAAGTTACCCTAGCAATGACTTTTTTATAGCTAAGTTTGTGAATTAGAGATTATATTAGTTTTCTATGGTGGCTGGATAAAATTTACTGATGGCTTAAGACAGTAGAAACAACTATTTTTACAGTCCTGAAGGCCACAAGTGTGAGTCAACGTGTTGGCAGCTCTACATTTCCTTCACCTTTTTCTTGAATCTTCCAGCTTTTGGTAGTTGTCAGCATTCCTAGGCTTATGTACTGCTGCAATGTCTGCCTCTGTCTTTATATGATCTCCATTTATCTATGTGTCTCTCTCGTGTGTGTCTCTTCTAAGAATACTTGTCATTGAATTTAGGGTCCTCCTCCCCTAGTAATCCAGGATGGATTCATCTCAAGATCCTTAATTATTTCTACAGAAATCCTTTTAGAATACAGTAACATGTACAGGTTTGGAGAATTAGGACATGGACATATCTTTTTGGAAACTACGATTAACTCACTACACAGATCAATGGAAAAACTAGGAATTGACTGAAAAACTTCTATTTTGAATACAATACAGAATAAAAGATAAATTTTCAAAATTATGTGCGAATTGTTAGCTTACGCATCTGTTATTAAAAGTCAACATTAGCTGCAGCAGTTATTTAAAACTTAAGACCAAGAATAAAATGATTCTGGAAGAATCATTTTATTATCAACATTATTTAGAATAACCTGCAAATTATGATTTAAAGAAGAAGCAGACTTCTAGATGGTTTTATTGCTGTTGATCAATTCATGTCAGACATAATACGATACTCCTTTGTTGCCTATGCCAGGTGTAGATCCAGCCTCTCTTTTCCTTCAATTGCCTTTGCTACCTCACTGCTGGCACAGGACTCTACTTTTCAATTCTATGAATGCATTTGATGGTTCACCATTTCCTGGGACTTGGCCTAGGGAGCAGGCACAGGATCCCTTCCTCTAAGGTTTACCTGCATCTCTGCTCTCATGTTTTCTCTGAATCTAATTTTTCTCTACCATTCTAGAGAGTCCTTGCTAATACGAGGGACAGACGGTAATGAATGGATAGGAGTACATGACACACAACCTCATACTGTTGTCTCCTCATGTTTTTCCTACATGCCAACAGTTAGATTCCCTTAGGAGCCTAAGTGTTTCAAACCATATGGTCTAAGAAAAGACTTTTTTCCTGCTTTACGTTACACAGCTCTTCCCTAATGCATACACTTTGGGAATACTATTACAGAAACTAAAAATCTTTACCTAGAGCTCTTTTGGGTTAGTTACTATATTTCTCTCCTATTAAAAGCAGAGATATTCCCTTTTGGCTCACTTATTTCCCGGTGCATCATTTGACAAAAGGCTTAAGAATTTGTTGTGGTGGTGGTTTTTAAGTTTCAGAATCTCCTTACTTCAGTTAGCCTGAGCAAACTATGAATGATGTCTGGGCTTCAGCTAGCTTTTCATACCTATTTTTATGACTGTGTAAGGGGTAAGTCATTATGATATAAAGGTATACAGTGTTGTCTCCTCCCAAAACCAAGAATGTTAAATTTCATTGTGTCTCCCAAATATTTCCCCCATCCATCAGCATTGTAGCTGCCTTTTCATAATGTGACTGCTAGACCAACATGATGTGCACCCTACCCTATTCCAAAAGAACAAGATCTATTAAAAAAGGCAGGTTTGAAAAAAATTCTGATACACTTCTCAAGAAACATCTGTGAATTCTCGAAAAGCGAGTTATTACATTTTCTAATTTCCCCATGTTTCATTATTCATTCACCTCAAAGAGAACTGGATAAGGCCTAAATGAAAATTCTGTTTCTACCACTGAGATTCAGTTCATCTTTTACAGTTTTATTTCTCATATTTTCTACAAAGTTGCAATTTTCCTCTTTTTTTTTTTTTGGAGTTGGAGTCTCCCTCCAGACTGGCGTTCAGTGGTGCAATCTCAGCTCACTGCAACCTCTGCCTCCCAGGTTCTGAGTGAAGCAATTCTTCTGCCTTAGCCTCCCAACTAGCTGGGATTATAGGAGTGCACCACTATGCCCAGCTAATTTTTGTATTTTTAGTAGAGATGAAGTTTTACCATGTTGGCCTGGCTGGTCTTGAATTCCTGACCTCATGATCCACCTGCCTTTGCCTCCCAAAGTGCTGGGATTACAGGCATGATCCACCATGCCTGGTGCAGTTTCCCTCTTTCTATACTGAAATTTATTATAAAGTTTCTCTATTGTCTTGGATATTGTATTTGCAAAATGTATTTGTGACAACTTTCAAGATTCTTTTATCTTAAGTATGTTTTCAGGCAAGATCTCATTGCACTTTAAAAGAGAATAGAAAAATGAGTTTGCCAAATGGTGACCTTCTGAATTAAAACTTTTTAAAGAACAGCTTTGGGGCCAGGAGCAGTGGCTTATATACATAATCCCAACATTTTGGGAGGCTGATGTGGGTAAATCACTTGAAGCTGGGAGTTCAAGACCAGCTTGACCAACATGGAGAAACCTCATCTCTACTAAAAATACAAAATTAGCTTGGCGTGGTGGCACATGCCTGTAATCCCACGTACTCAGAAGGCTGAGGCAGGAGAATCATTTGAACCCAGAAGGTGGAGGTTGCAGTGAGCTGAGATCACGCTATTGCACTTCAGCCTGGGTGACAAGAGCAAAACTCCATCTCAAAAACAAATAAACAAACAAGCAAAAAAAAAAAAAAAAACAAAAACAGCTCTTTGGAATAGGTCAAGAGGAGAGAATGAAAGTACACATAGTGGTAACAGTGAAGAGTGTAGTGTAGATCAAATATGCCCATTAGCATTTTTTCCTAATAAAAGCGATGAGTTCGTGTCCTTTGTAGGGACATGGATGAACCTAGAAACCGTCATTCTCAGCAAACTAACACAAGAACAGAAAATCAAACACTGCATGTTCTCACACATAGGCAGGTTTTGAACAATGAGAACATGTGGACACAGAGAGGGGATCATCACATACCGGGGTCTGTTGGTGGGAGTAAGGGAGGGATAGCGGGAGGGAGGGTGGGGAGGGATAGCGTGGGGAGAAATTTCAGTTATAGGTGATGGGGGGATGGAGGCAGCAAACCACTTTGCCACGAGTGTACCTATGTAACAGTCTTGCATGATCTGCATATGTACCCCAGCATCTAAAGTACAATTGAAAAAAAACCCATTCATAACACTTCAGAATCATGTAATAAGCAAGAACAATTATCTGGAAATTCATTCATGTACTTCATTTACCTGCAATTAAAAGAACAGAGAAAACAGAAAGGGAAAATTTGTACAGTTCTTATTTTATGTCAGCTGTTAATATATATTAATTTTCTTCATCTTCACCGTAATCCTGAGATACGTGTATAAATGTCACTCAACCTGAAGATGAGAGCCTGACTAGGTCAATTCCTCCTCTAATATGCTGTCCTTGGTAATATTTTTCACAATTAAGACTGTTAATTTATTTGATGATTCTTTGATTTCTGTGTTCCCTATCTTAGTCTATAAGCTTAGTGAGGACAGGAGTCCCTATGCCTCTTGCTTGTTTGTCTGCTTGGTTCTACCAAGTGTGCCCAGTGCCCAGTACAAAAACTCCAATACATTATAGATGCTTAATAAATATATGTTGAATGAACAAACAGGCATAATGCCACAGTTTTAAAAAATGACAGTGCTGAGACTGGGACCTCTGTCTCTGATGAGAAAGCTTGCAATAATAATTATTCTATGGTTTTCTTGCTCATATGCTTCTAGTAATTGCTTTCTTTATGCAACGTGGGTTTCTAGTATTGTCAAAGGCTGGGCACAGTAGCTCAGGCATATAATCCCAGTGCTGTGGGAGGCAGAGGTCAGAGGGTCACTTGAGGCCAGGAGTTTGGAATAGTGTTGTCAAAGGACATGATAATACATGTATGGTCTGATATCTGGGCCACTGGACAGTCACTTAATGATTACATTTTCTACCAATCCCATGAATTTCACCATTAATTATGTAGCATGGTCCAAAGCTCACCTGCTTTATTTACAGTTTTTCATTATTACTCCTTTGGCTGATTTGGGGTCGCAATATTGAAACCTTAAAAACCTTAAAAGAGACCTGTTTTAGCAATACTGCATATGCATATTCCCCCCCGGCATCTACAAATGGAGTAACTGTAGTAACAGATGCCTTCTAATTTGACAGCATAAAAAATATATATGGCTATTTAAATATTTCATCAGATGACTACAGGGTCTAAAAGGTCAAACAGCACAGGAGCTTCATAAATTCTTTTTTGTTGATCAATTCATTTAAAGACCCTTGGATCTAACCGCATCTCAGTTTGCACACACACGTAATTCTTCCACCTAAAGTTTTGATGGCACTCTAAACATTTCCAGAATTAAGTTTTGTATATCATTTATGGTCACATTATCATCCTCCTCCCAGTTGTCTTTCCAGGTTTATGCACAGCTTCTAAGTGTAAGGATCCTGCCATCAACGCCGACGATTACATGAATGAAAGAATGGTTCTTTGCCGTTTACTTTCTGCCACCTTAACACTTGTAACAGGCCAAAGGTATAAACAAACAAGTCAAACACTAGATTAGTTTAAAATATATTTTGAAATTATACTTCAAGGAGATTAGTGTATGTAAAATAAAGTCCACATCTGGCCTGTAATACAGGTAGTGGTAGACTAGTGCTGCTGGAAGAAAGATGGGCAATCCTGTATCCCACCACACTCATTCTACGTTAAATGTAAAAATCCAGTAATACTGATATTCACCTTAAATAGCACTCTTCCCTGAATGCTTGAAATGTTTCATTTGGAGGTATTGATCATATTTCCACACCTTTCAGTAGTCATTAGCAATATACAGAATGAGGCGATTTTAGAGCTATCTTTATTCTGGGTCCATTTGAATGAGATGCAATTTACATTTTTCACTGTGAACTGCAGTAAACACCATTTTCAAAAATTATTATTACTTTTTAGGATAGAGTCTCACTCTGTTGCCCAGGCTGGAGTGCAGTGGTACAATCTCAGCTTACTGCAAATTCTGACTGCCAAGTTCAAGTGATTCTCATGCCTCAGTCTCCCAAGAGCTGGGATTACAGGCACATGCCACCACATCCAGCTAATTTTTGTATTTTCAGTAGAGATGGAGTTTCACCATGTTGGCCAGGCCTCAAGTGATCCACCTGAATTGGCCTCACAAAGTGCTAGGATTACAGATGTAAGTAACCATGCCCAGCCAACACAATTTAATTAACCCTTTCCAGAGGTTTAAATCTGTAATGAAGATAGGATTGAGTTTTAGATTATCATTCTTCAGGGTCAAAACTTAGGGAAAGAAAATAATGTTATTTATAATCACTGCTAGGTTGACTTTGCTTATCATTTCTCATAGTTGTGGGTATAGGTGAGAATGGGTCAGATTAAACTGTGTTAATATTACCAAATATCACTGGCTTAAAACAAAAGTGGTTTATACCTCACTTATATTACCTGTCAATCTCTGGTTGGCTGGGCACTCACTTTGCTCATTGCCATTACATTTCATTCTCATGGAAAAACCACCATCTAGAAATCAAGAGTTATCATTAAAAAACAAAAAGGGAAAGCTCTGGAGAGTCTTTTACGAGCAATTAAATTATTCTAATGGAAGTGACGCACATTTCTTGTGCTCATTTCTCTTTGGCCAGGGCTATCACTTGTCCCAGCTAAACAAGGCAGTCTAAGAAATGTAATCCTTTCTAGAGACTGGGAAGTAATAAGGTATAAAAGATTAATGAGCAGCAATAATTACTACCATATTGCATGAGGCTTTTTAACTTCAAGAGCTAGTAAGTTTAAAGAAGTAAGAAAACCTCAAATGGGGGCTCCTCCCATGGAATTAAGTTTGGCAAGGCTGAGCTTATTTCAGTCAGTCTTATTGTTAGGTTTTTATTATTACAATAACTCCTTTGTTATTGTTTGTTTCTCCTTTTTATTACCTATAATTCCTGGTGATAGTCTACTACATTTTATCTTAGAATGTGTTGTAGGCTCCATTTGTGATAGGGTATTGCTGATGGTTTTTTCTTCCTTTTATTTGCTGTGTAGGACATAGAAAACTTCTTTGGTTGTTATCTTTTCTATTGTCTCTAAAATTTGGTGTTTGGGAGACACCTTTATCTCAGAGAAGAATATCTTGTGCCTAAACATTAAACGGACTTGAATTTAAAAGATTATCTCATGCTGAATAGTCCTCCATGTAACTGTGATTGGCTGATAGTTTCTTCTTGCCTGCTGCACAGACAAAACTAACTCACAGAGATGGTAGTATTGTAGTAAAGAGAAAGTTTAACTAACAGAAAGCTAGTGGAGCAGAAGTACAGGATTTTACTACTCAAATCATCCTCACCAAGAATTCAACACAAACTAGAGTTTCTATGAATAATATGGCAGGAAGGGGGCTAGGGAATGGGTGCTTCTGATTAGGGATAAAATCATAGGTGTACGGAAAATGGTCCTTGTGCACTAAGTAGCCTCTGGGTGGGGACCACAGGGCCAGCTGAATGAGTCACAAGCCTGGATGGAGTCACTCAATCACCAGAATGCAAAAGCCTGGAAAACATTTCAAAAGACTAATCGTAGATTCTACAATAGTGATATTATCTATGGGAGCAACTGGGGAAGTCACAAACATTTTGACCCATGGCCACTTGACACATGAGCTGAAAGGGATTATAGAAAAACAATGGCTAACTATTGTTTAACTATGCCTACATCTTAGCAGAATTCAAGCTTGTATTGGTGCGTTTTTATGCTGCTAATAAAGACATACTCACGCCTGGGTAATTTATAAAGAAAAACAGATTTGATGAACTCATAGTTCCACATGGTTGGGAGGCCTCACAATCATGGCGGAACATTAAGGAAGAACAAAGAGACAGCACACATGTTGGTAGGCGAGAGAGCTTATATAGGAGAACTCTTCTTCATAAGACCATCAGATCTCGTGAGACTTGTTCACTATCATGAGAACCACACAGGAAAGACCTGCCCTGTGATTCAATTACCTACTACCAGGTGCCTCTCATGACATGTGGGAATTATGGGAGCTACAGTTTGAGATGAAATTTGGGTGGGGACACAGCCAAAACATACCAAGAACCCTGTCATAATCATAATGTTGTGTTCTTTTATTAGTTTTACAAAGGCGATGTCAGTCCCCAAATTAAGGGATGCCAATTTTAGGGAGAGACTATTATCATTCTTGCTTCAGAGTTAAACAATAAACTAAATTACTCCCATGGTTAGGTTGGCTTACACCTAGAAATTACAAGGATAGCCAGCCTGTGGGGATAGAAGCAAAACGGAGTCAGCCATGCTAGATTTCTTTCACTGTCATAATTTTTGCAAAAGTGGTTTCATAATAATTGGATAATTTTCTTGATAACCTACTGAGGGGCTGTGTTAAAGAAATGTCTCTTCCTGGGTCTGCTAGGGGAGGCGTTTCAAGTACAGGAATTTCCCATCTCCCCACTTCAGGTGGCTAGGGCTCTTTAAGCACCTCCTCCATGCCTCCATCCAGAGACCAGAGGGTTTCAAATGCAGACATTTCCTGGCTCCCTGCCTCAAGTGGCTGGGGTTCTTTGAGCAACTCTTCCACGCGGGGCAGGTAAAATTCATTGTGTGATCTTGGGAAAGCCAGGGAATTTTGTCCCAAATTCCCACTGAAAGCTCTGAGAGGATGGAGCTCTGTAACTCAGGGCTATAAAACAAGTAGCCAATTGGTATCAGAGTCAAAGATCAATCATCCAGAGGAAGTTTAAAAGAACTCCTCTCATTGGATGAGAACATGAATGGGGAGGGAATAACTCAAGGGTTAAAACTTCAGCTGTTCCCACCTGAATGGATTTCCCTCTTTGGGTTCCTCTTCCACAACAGCATGGGAGGTGTCTTCTCTCTCTCTTTCTCTCTCTGTCTGATAAATTGCTCTTCCACAAAACTCTTTGGGTCCACAATTTTATTCTGAGGGTAAACACACAAAGCCTCTGGGGCCCTTTCCCCATTATTCAGGGTTAGAGAGGCCAAGAACCTACAAGCTGGGTACTCCCCCAGTAACAATACTATAATAATGGAGAGATAAAATTTTACCCTCTCTTTAGATGACATAAATCTTTGGAGAAAAGAAATTGCTTTTGTTAGAAAAGAAATCCACCAACATAAATTGGAAAATGTATGTATTTGAAAGACTGTATTGCCTCTCTCTATAATATTACCTCTCCCTATATTAGTCAAAAGTACAAGATTAAAGCATTTTCTGATATTCTCCAAGAAAGAGAAAGAATAGTCTTTGTTCTGCATAAACTACTGGGTCATCACAAAGAGTTTAGGTTACTGAGAAAATGTAGCATCAACAATCAGAAAACAGAAAAAAAAAAAAGAGGGCAATAACAATAGATATAAATAGAAGGGTAAAGAAAATACATAGAAGAAAATAAAGCAGGTTAAACACATTTCTTTCTTCTCAACTCTATACTGGCACTGAATGAATGGCGTTTATCCAATATATCCCCCAGTGCCTACCCAATGTTTGGGCAGAGAGATGTCATTACATTCAAGGCCCTCCATCACTGATCACTGAAACCAAGGTCCCCTGTGTAGTAAAGATTGACTGGGCCAGGCGCGGTGGCTCACGCCTGTAATCCCAGCACTTTGGGAGGCCAAGGCGGGTGGATCATGAGGTCAAGAGATCGAGACCATCCTGGTCAACATGGTGAAACCCCGTCTCTACTAAAAATACAAAGAATTAGCTGGGCATGGTGGCACGTGCCTATAATCCCAGCTACTCAGGAGGCTGAGGCAGGAGAATTGCCTGAACCCAAGAGGCGGAGGTTGCGGTGAGCCGAGATCGTGCCGTTGCACTCCAGCCTGGGTAACAAGAGTGAAACTCCATCTCAAAAAAAAAAATAAGATTGACTTTGTGCAGAGAATTGCTTCACCCTTTTTTATGGCTCCTGAAAGGTCATCTCTAAACCATAGGTATGTCCTGCCTGATAAGACTGTCTCTGTTTACCAAAAGGCCCTGGGTCACACCTGATAGTCTAATGCTACAATGTGATTTATGTGGGGAGGCCACGGGCCATGCTTGTCAACTCAACATCTGCGGAAGCTGAAGACTAAGATTAGTCACGTCAGAAGTCAATTTTGTCTATGTGACCAAGGCCCTAGTAAAATTTCTAGATATCAAGGATTGAGTAAATGTCCCTGGCTGGCACTTCTCCATATGCATTATCACACATTATTGCTAGGCAAAGTAAGCACTATCTGTACAATTCCACTGGGAGAGGACAATTGGAAGCTCCATTTTCAGAACTCTCCAGGACCCTGCCCTATGTTCTCCAATCTTTAGCTGATTTTAATCTGTATTCTTTTGCTGTACTAAGCTATAACTGAGTATAAACAACTTTCAATGAGCTTTCAGAGTTCGTCTAACACATGATTACACTTGAAGGTGATTTTTAGGAACCCTAAACTTGCAATTGGTATCAGAAGTGAAGGGGTTCTTACGAACCATGGAACTTTTCACTGGTGTCAGAAGTGATGGTTGTAGGGACTCTTAAACTTGGACCACCACATCCAATCATAGGCCATTCTATTCAAGTCCTTCCATTGTATAGTTCTGGATTATTTAGGTTCTTTGAGACAGAAGAACAAGTAATGAGGGCCATTTAATCACTGAGGCTCGATAGTGAGGATGTATTCAAAGTAATATATGACAGAAAGTGTTGACCTCATGAAAGGGCAGCCTTCAAAGACAACCAGAATATGCTTTAGCGAACAATGCAATTGATTATTTTAACAAGACATTTCTTTTCTCTTACTGATAATGAGAAGTTCTTCAATGCTTCATTATAATACCATTTAATCATTATGGAACTAACTCCTCTCCATATCTGTTTCTACTCCACCAACTAAGTTGCCTGTATTCTCTCTACTGAATGGGTTTGTTCTTGTTCATTGATCTGGTAAATCACAACTGCTTCTCTCATACTTGCTTTCTATCATCCCTCCGTGTGTGTTTTGGCTTTTACCTATGCCCCTGAATTCTGCTATACTCTGTATGTCAGGCACACAAAACACTCTGAGATAGGATCTACTTGAGCAAATTTCTGCTAATTTGAACTATTGACACTGAGAAACCTCCTTATGTCAAGGCATGTCAAAGGCCAATGGGTGACCTTTTCGATGTTACCTAATGGAAATATAAGGCAAGCCACATATGTAACTTTTAAAATTTAGTAGCCACATTCCTTTAAAAGGGAGAAAAAAACATATATAATATTATATTTAAAGTACATGTAAAACATTATCATTTCAACATGTGGCACTAGCTACCTATCCATCACTGAGTAGATACATGTGGCTGGTGACTACCATATTGGAGAGTTCAGACTTTGACAGTTGAGCTCCGTGTAGAATAGTGATGAACCTCGTACTTCAAAACCTGGTTATTGAGAAGAAATATAGGAAAAAAAATTATAGAAGATTTTAGAGACCACTTATACTTAGTTACCATTAAGTTTTAGTCATATTGCTTTTTAGCAGTGTAGTGTTGGAAAAAAAATACTTCTGTTAATTTTCTTATATATAGGATATGACATATAGAGAAATAATTTATATATGTATACAATTTATATAGATATAAAATATGCCAGGCACAGTGGCTCATGCTGTAATCCTAGCACTCCAGGAGGCCGAGGTGGGTGGATCACTTGAAGTCAGGAGTTCAAGACTAGCCTGGACAACATGGTGAAACCCCATCTCTACTAAAAAATACAAAAATTAGCTGGGTGCAGTGGTGGACACCTGTAATCCCAGCTACTCAGGAGACTGAGGAAGGAGAATCACTTGAACTTGGGATTCAGAGGTTGTAGTGAGCTGAGATCGTGCCATTGCACTCCAGCCTGGGTGACAAGCATGAGACTCTATGTCAAATAATAATAATAAATAAAAATTAAAGTCGAAGAAGACCTTTATAATATCTTTCTTATTGAGTTATGGCATTTGTCCTGCTCTTGGCAGGAAGTAAATTTCAAACTCAATAAAAGTTAATAAAGTATCTATTTACAGAAGATGTATGCAAGGTTAACAACAGCAATAAAGAATAATCAAGTACCCAGAGACTAAAGATAATGACAGATCTTCAGTTACAACTGCGTTTTCCATTTTGGCCTTAAAGGAACGCTGTTACAAAGTTGGGTTAAAGTTTGAAGGTTTGGAAAAGTGGTCACATCACAAGAATTGACTCAGCCAGTGCCAGAAATTTTGGTAGTGAGGTCAGGAGGAAGCAGGGTACACAGAGGTAAGCTTACGTATCCAAACCCTTGTCTTATTCTCCCATCTCCTACCACTGTTTCTCTTCAATCAAACCCAACCAAATGTCAGGGCAAGGGATGATATCTGGAGAAGTCAATCATCCAGGCAATGGAACAAGGTAGAGGATGAATGTGGGGTAGTAGGTCAATTGGCAATAACCAACACAGGTTATTGCGAGAGTTATGCAAAAAGGAAATCTGTGTACAGTACCTGGCATATAGTACATACTCAGTATATGTTCACTATTATTAATTAAATTATATTGTTTAAGTCTACAGTTATCTTTCGCTCACTCAGCTCTTAACATGGTGGCGAGGCCGTGAGTGAGTTAGACACTTAGAAGTTGATAGCCTCTTGACTGATATCGACCCCAGCCTCCGTAATACACCAATATTCCCTATCAGATACTAAATATTCTGCCAAACCAAAACTAATGTTCTGCAAGCTTCTCTAATTAACAACTTTCCTGGGAAGCAGTCTGATTTCAGTAAAATCAATTTATTGAAAGTCTATTCCATTTGCCAAAAGATCATTGTCAATGACAATTTGCCAAATTCACCAAAGATCCTGGTTTCCCTAAAGGCGTATTTCTTCATTGCTTCTATTTATAATGTTTATGGGAATTTTTATTTAATGGTTTGACAGATTCTAGGAGGACTGCACAGTGAGAACTCCACATTCAGAAACCACTGACCTTCTGCTTCTCTTAGCTCCTTACTTCAGATTTCTTTCCTTCTGTCCTTTATCTTCTTTTTCTCAGCTCCTTAGTGTCCCACATCCTCTCTGGGTTTTCAAGTCCTTAATCTTCCTTTTTGTCCCTGTTTTTCCACTTTTATCTGTGCCAAATATCTTACATTTGCTCCTCCAGACCAACAGAAACCAAGAAGTTTCACTTCTCCATTCCCAACTCTGCCTCAGGACTGATCTGAGGGGATGGCATTGATGGGCTCTTTTGACTTTCAGAAGGGTTAGGCCAATGGAAAACACCACCAAAAAATTGAAAGAAGGTAGGATCAAAAGGTTGAAATATTTTTTCCAATGTAGTAGCTATGACTGACCCCATCCACAAACCAAAAGTCACGGCTCCTGTTGGGTGACTTTCCGCACAGCTTCCCATCTACACCCTCCAAAAACTTCTTCCTCTCCTTATTCTCTCAGAAATAGGGTTAGCCTTCTGCTCTCAGAGTAGGAGTTCTGTTGTACTGCACTCTTCTGTGTGGTTTTCCTATATTCCATTGACAACATTAAAATCCTATCATTTTGGAATTCTTTTGAAGTATCTTAATTTGAAAATGCTACCTTTTTTCTCTCTACTTCACTCAGCCCCTTAGCATACCGAGGCCTCAGCTTCTCTACTCTGTGTTTTTCACCCTTTTTAAAGAGCAGTGACTGAGAATTGCCTGTGAGGTTCCTCTGTTCCAGTTTCCTTTTTTTGTAGGAAGAGAAAATGGGGTGAAAAGAAAGGCTGAAGAGTACAGAGGAAGAGTCTAGATGTAGAGAGATAAAGATAAGGGAGGGACAGAAGAAAAGAAGATTAAAGGGCAATAAATAAAGAGATGGTTAGACAGAGGTACAAAGGAATCATGGGAAAAGCAGAAGAGCCTGAGAGCTTGCACCAATGGCATTCTAATAGTTGCAATCATCATGCACTCATCCATTGTGAATGACTAGAAACTCAAAACTTAGCTTTAATAATTGAGTGAAAATTATGTGTCAATTTGATTTTTTGACGAGTTGGTAAATTTCACTTCTTATATTTGCTTATTTTGTTTTCTTACTTTTCCTTTTGAAAATGCTACTCATTAAAATCCAAAGATTTGGCTTATGTTTTCCCAGTGTTTTGAAACCTTCCATGACTTTCCCAGTAAAATGTTTATTATTCTGATGTGGAACTTTTCAGAGTATGTATCTTGGTGCTATGGAAGGAAAAATTGCACTGGAACAAATTAAACAGGAAGAAAGAATATAACTCAAAACCAGTACAATAGAGGGGAGAAACCTGAATGTAGTCTGAACTCTACTCTGCTCAAAGAAAGGGCAGGTGAGTTTTTTGTTTGTTTGTTTTTTTGACATAGAGTCTCAACTTTGTTGCCTGGGCTGGTGTGCAGTGGCACGATCTCAGCTCACTGCAACCTCTGCCTTCCAGATTCTAGTGATTCTTTTGCCCTGGGTTCCTGAGTATCTGGGATTATAGGTGCCTGCCACTAAACCCAGCTAATTTTTTTAATTTGTAGTAGAGACGGGGTTTCCTCAGTTTGGCCAGGCTTGTCTCGAACTCCTGACCTCAGCATTCTCCTGCCTTGGTTTCCCAAAGTCCTTAAATCAGCACCCCTCACCAAACAACAACACAGGTAACCTGTGTTTGCTAACTGACCTTACCCACAGAAAAAGTAAACTTTCTTTTATCTTCTTGACAGGAGGTAATTTTACAGCTTGGAGCAAAGTACCCACCTTGGTTAAGCTCCTGCCCTCCCACAGACACTGGGAGATTCGGGTTGCATCTTCCTTAATGATTGCATTTCAAAAGATGGCACCCAGGTCCTTCAGAAAGATAATCTTGGGTTGTAAAAGTAGCAAAAACACTTTTTAAAGTTTACATCATAAAGGGGCAGAAAAAGAATTTAGAGTTATAAGTTTTCTAAAGTAAATGCTCTAATAAAAGGGAGGTACGAGATTTCTGTGTTTAGGCCATCTGGATTCTGTAAGGACCAGGATGAGGGCAAGTTCAGAGGCTAGAAAAGAAGACTGACTAAAGTTTAGTCGAGCTGAGGGAAATGATGAAGACTTCTTGGTTAGTGCCCTATCTCCTTTAAAGACATGTACCTGTCATGTTTCTTGTATTGCATTGTGAGCTCCATGAATTCCTGGAATGTGCTTTGCCTCTGTCTGCACCTCTTGAATGGAGTGATGCAATTAAAAGTGGGTAACAGAATATGAATTAAATCAAAATTAAGTACTAGACAGTGCTAACTGTGTGTGTGTGTGTATGTGTGTGTGTGTGTGTTTGTGTGTTTAGCTTTATATCTGAATTCATTCAATTACTATCCCATTCAAGGTGCTCATTTACCCTCCAGAGCAGGCAGTATTAGAGATGGAATTCTAATAATTCTTGGAAGATCTCACTCTAATCTTCTGATCCCAAGATGTTCTGACAAGCCACATTAATTCTCCACTTTGCAGACACTTCTATGGACGTAGATGCCATTTGCTCACAGAAAGGCTCTGTTACAAGAGGCGGTAAAGCAAGGCATTCTGCAAGGGAATACCAAGAGTGTACTTTGGTTAGGAGACAAACCTTCCAGATTCTTCCCCAATGTCAGCCGTAGAAATAATGACTGATGCAGACAAAGATGTGGCAGAATGGGGACAGTGTGATGAGCCTATAGAGAAATCTCTGAAACTGCTCCATTGCTGTGACCAATTGCTTATCTAAAGGAACAAAATAGCTCCTGTATTGCTTATACCCTCAAATTGATACCCCAAAGATATCAAGTATAAATTATTTGCCCCTAAAATAATAAAGCTAGTGTTGACAGAGCCCTTGAAGCCTTCACGCCACAAATGCAGGAACAAACAAAAAATAAAGTAAACCCTCAAAAATAAAATTCAAGGAGTCTTAGGCCCTCCTAAGACTGAAAGTGCTTTTGCTCCAGCTCTGATTATTAAAGTCTTTGCGTGCAATAGAAAGTCAATCACTCTAGAGGGTCTTGCAAATACGTTGGTCATTTAGAAGGATAAATCACCTCCAACAGCAACCGAGATTCAGTGCAGAGGTAATCTCATTTGAAGCAGTTTCATCGCCAAAATGGTAATATATTGAGTTGCTTTGCTGGGAAATGGAGCCAAGAAGCACTTGCTCAACATTTTATTCATATAATACAGAGAACCCAGCTCTTCAGTCACTAATCCCTCTGGAACTTTTTGTTTAGAGTGAATGCAAATAAATGCAGAAGACCCATGCTTCCAATAAGACAGTAAAATAACATTTTTAAAGAAACAAACTCTAATCCTTCTTTTTATTTGATTTCATCCTTTCCCTTCATTTCTTTGAAATGATCCGTTTGGTGAAAGTATGTTTTCGATATATTATATTTGCAGAATAAATCAAGTGATATAAATTATGTGTGGGCTGAATTGTGTCCCCTAAGAAGATATGTTGAAATCCTAAGTCCTGTACCTGTAAATGTGGCCTTATGTGCATATAGGTCCTTTGCTGATGCAATCTTGCTAAAATGAGATCATATTTAATTAGGATTGATCCTAATCTAATGTGACTGGTGTCCTTATAAGAAGAGAAAACAGATACACAGGGAAAGGAACACCATGTGAAGACCCAAAGAGACACAAAGAGAGAGAGAGAGGATGTGAAGATAGAGGCAGAGATTGAAGTTGTGTGGCCACAAATGAAGAAACTGCTGGGGCTACTGGAAGCTAGAAGAGACAAGAAAAAATTATTCCCTAAAAGCTTGAGAGGGAGCATGGCCTTGACACCCCTAGATTTTGGAAATCTAGCCTTTCAAATCATGAGATGATAATTTATGTGCTCTTAAGTCACCCAGTTTGTGGTACTTCGTTATGGCAGTCCTAGTGAACTAATACAAATGGTTAGCTGCCTTTCAGAAAAACAAGCCAGAAAAATACCACAATATTTCCCACACTAAATATACAGTGTGGCTTTTCGGGACCTAAAATTTTCTCCTGGCCTTTGTCAGCGGGCACTACCTGATGGAAAAGGGAATCTGACTAATCTCTGTTCAAATTCCCAACTCTGCTCCTTTTTGGCTGGGTATCTCAGGCTAGGAATTTAACCTCTATAAAACTTGATTCCTCTCAGTAAAAATTGACATAATAATAGCTATGGCACAGCGTGGATTTGTTTGTTTTAGGATTAAAGGAGATAGCATATGTAAAACGCCTGGCATATTAAACTTTCCTTTCATTTAGGTCCTTTCCTTTCTCTATTCTTTTTCTGCCTGGGCACATACCTTCGCCCAAACCAGCCATCAGCTAATCCCTCCTGAGACTCATCTGAAAATAGCTTCACATTTTATATATCCCAGAGATATTTGTAATTTAACAGACAACCCTTAAAGGCAAAAAGCCCTTCAGGTCAAAGCAATGAATTCTAATAGAAAAATTCAGGCTTTCTGATAGGGAGTGGAGAACTTTGCAGAACATATTGAGAACACACGTAAAAAGCCACGATCTTACTCATGTGCCGAGCCCTGCTACATAATAATTTCTGTTAAGAGAATTAATTCTTTTGGATGTCTAATCTGTTTCTTTTTAAATGTATTCATTTATTATTCAATGATTTCTGCATTTCATTAATCTCTCATTCATTTATTAAGTACATAATTCTATATAGCACATTAAGGAAGTTATAAAGATCAGCCTAGCAAAGCTACTGCTTGGTTCCAAGGAGCTTGTATTCTAGTCGGGAAGAGGAGACATTTATGTAAATAGATGAATCGGGTAATTTAGAAAGTTCTGATATCAAAAATTGAGATTTTGTTTTTTGAGGCAATTTTCCTAAATCATCATTTAATCTCAATTCTTTTCTATCTCTCTACTTTTTTTTCCCTCCTTCTTTCCTCAGCCCTCTCTCTCATCTTTTCCCCCTTTGCTTCTCTTTTTATAGTTCCTCTCTCCAGTTCTTCATTTATTACATGTTTCTGAGAGTAAGAACTCCTGTGCCTGTAACAAAGCCATTTTTATGTTTGTGTATAAATATGTATGCCCTCAGTTGGAAATATTTTGGGGTGACTACTGAATAGTGATTATTCTCTAACAACTATTGTGTTCTCTATTTTGTTAATAAGTGAAGTAGCTGTGGTACTGGGTCCAGCCAAAGACTTCTAAAAAGATGGTCCAGAAAGAGACTTATTTTTCAGTTTCTAACAAGACCAATATCAAATATCCTGGGCTAGATCAGTAATGATATACATAATTATATGAGACTTATATACAGGCATTTAATTAATAAGCCCATTATATAATTTTTCTTGCAGTATTTTCTAGTATGATATGTATCTTTATGCCGTATTTTTGAAACCAAACTTTAAAATCCACCATCTGTGATTTAGCTGTGATAATCTGTAGATGAGACTTACTGTGTCATGTGAGTCTAAAATGTTTACACTATTACCATGTTCAGGTCTACCCATTGAACATTATTCTTAGTATTTTTTCTTTTCTTTTCTTTTTTTATTTTTGAGAAGGAGTTTCACTCTGTTGCCCAGGCAACCTCCTCCTCCCAGGTTCAAGTGATTCTCCTGCCTCAGACCCCCAAGCAGCTGGGATTACAGGCACTCACCAACAAGCCCAGCTATTTTTGTATTTGTAGTAGAGGCACGGTTTCACCACATTGGTCAGGCTGGTCTTGAACTCCCAACCTCAGCTGATCTGCCTGCCTCGACCTCCGGCAGTGCTGAGGTTACAGGTGTGAGCCACCGCACCTGGCCTTATTCTTACTTTTTCTATGTTAGGAAACATTTATTTATTCATTCTACATGTACAGAACATCTCTTGTTAGGAAACATATGAATGGTTTTTCTTCCATTCTCTATTTCCTCTAGTTCATGTAGCATATTTTTGACAAACTAATCCTTTTTAAACAGTTTTTGTGTTTACATAATTGCTGGATTTAGAACCAATAAACCTGAGTTTATACTTTGCCTCTATTCTTAAATACTTGTTTGATCCTTCATTAGTTATAAAAATAACAACTTAATAAAAAGCAATATATATTGAACATTTAGGTGCCAGATACTGTGATAAAACTCAAGAATTAATTTACTAACTCAGGATTGCAATGAGAAATATATTGTTTTTGATTTTGAATGTGGACTCTCAAAGGCCTTGTAAGTAATAATAGCTTTACAAGTCAATGGAATTGATTTTCATGAGGTAAGTAGTTCTGAGAAAAGGGAAGTTTACTGAAAAGCAGAAAAGAAAGCCTATAAGAAATAAGACATAGCGTATATGCCTTCACAATAGGTGAGAAAAGAAGATAAAGGAACAATTATATCCAAAAGAATCTAAATGAGAATCAGTAAGTCTGGAAAGAGGTAAGAGACTGTAATATGAGTAAGCATGATCTTGGATACCTAGAACATGAAAGTAAACCTTGGGATTGAAGGGGACTGCACGTGCACACGCGCGCGTACACACACACATACACACATACATATACACACATATGCATACATATAAAGTATACTCACATATATACAACCTATACACACACACATATATACACATACATACACACACATATATATACATACATATATACATAGTATACACACACATATATAATACATATATATATCTTGGTGGTGCAAAAGTAATTGTGGTTTTTGCCATTAAAATTAATAACCTGGTGGTGTGGTGGCACTGGCATGTAGTCCCAGCTACCCGGGAGGCTGAGGCAGAGGAATCGCTTGAACTTGGGAGGCGGAGGCTGCAGTGAGCCAAGATCGCACCAATGCACTCCAGCCTGGGCAACAGAGTGAGACCCTGTCTCAAAAGGAAAAAAAAGTAATAACCTGGTCTGGTGGTGGCTCACACCTGGTAATCCTAGCACTTTGGGAGGCCAAGGCGGGTGGATCACTTGAGGTCAGGAGTTAGAGTCCATCCTGATCAACATGGGGAAACCCTGTCTCTACTAAAAATACAAAATTAGCCGGGTGTTGTGGCACCTACCTATAATCCCAGCTATTTAGGAGGTTGAGGGGGAGAATTGCTTGAACCCTGGAGGCAGAGGTTGCAATGAGCTGAGATCATGCCACTGCACTCCAGCCTGGGCAACAAGAGCAAAACTCCATCTTATTAAAAAAAAATTAATAACCTGTTGGGCACAGTGGCTCATGCCTGTAATCCCAGCAACAGCACATTGGGAGGCCAGGTGGGCAGATCATGAGATCAAGGGTTCGAGACCAGCCTGACCAACATGGTGAAACTCCGTCTCTACTATAAATACAAAAATTAGCCATGTGTGGTGTCACATGCCTGTAATCCCAGAGGGACGCTGAGACAGGAGAATCGCTTGAATGTGGGAGACAGAGGTTGCAATCAGCCTAGAAAGCACACTGCATTCCAGCCTGGGTGACACAGCGAGACTCTGTCTCAAAAAAACAAAAGAAAAAAAGAGGTAATAACCAATATGCCCTTGCTTCAAGATATCCCAGCTTTCCAGAGAAAATGGGCATATACTTTGCATGGACTGATTTATATCTTTGCCTGAAAGATATAAAACCAAACTGTAATCTCACCACCTCAGGTGCATTTTCTCAGGACTCTTGGAGACTCTGATTTTTCTGGCTGTGATAACTCATACTGGCACAGAATAAATCTCTTTAAAAGATTTAATTGTTTTGTTTTTCCACTAATATAACATGGTCAGAAAGTTGAATGGTTTAATTTTAGCAACACATGTTGCCGTACTAGCTCTTTAGCATGGAGCTGACTTCATTCTGTAACTGCCGGCAAGACATACATGAATTTTTCAGTAAAAGTGACACCCATGAGTGCTCTAAGTCTGAGGATTCTTTTCCAAACAGATCCATAGAAACATGTCTCATTTAATAGCACAGAACACTTATTAACACCTCCTAAGAGGCTGGGTGGAGTGGCTCATGCCTATAATTCCAGCTGAGGCACGAGCATTACTTGAGTCCAGGAGTTCAAGACCAGTCTGGGCAACACAGCAAGACCCTGTCTCTTAAAAAATTTTTTGTTTTCATTAGCAGGGTATGGTGGCACACCACAAAAAAATGTTTTTAGTTAGCAGGGTAATAGTGGCACATACCTGTAGTCCTTGCTGCTCAGAAGGCTGAGGTGGGAGGATGACTTGAGCCCAGGAATGAGTCCATGGCAGCAGTGAGCCATGATTGTGCCAGTGCATTCCAGCCTGAATGACAGAGGGAGACCCTATCACTAAAAAATAAAAATACAAAAACACAAAATCTCCAAATATACCTGAAAGACTCAAGATGCCATAGAAGACTTTAAAACCTGTAATTAAAACTGACTAGGCCTAAGTGAAAACTTACCACTAAAAACCAACCCATGGCTTACTAGGGACATCACCTGAAACATCGTACCTTCTAGACTATCTGGGTGTAGTTTCAGGTATCTCATAAGTAGAGTAGCACACCTAGAATAAAGAATAAACAAATTTCCCACACATTTCATCTTTTAAGAGGGTACTATAGTGTCAAAAATGGTGCTTTGGAATGGAGATTATCCACCCAAAGCAGTTTAGTGATAAAGACAGTGATAAGAATTAATTCTGGGCAAGGCACAGTGGCTCATGCCTGTAATCCCAGCACTTTGGGAGGCCGAGGGGGGGGGTGGATCACGAGGTCAGGAGTTCAAGACCAGCCTGACCAAGATGATAAAACCCTATCTTTACTAAAAATATAAAAAAATTAGCTGGGCGTGGTGGTGGACGCCTGTAATCTCAGCTACTTGGGAGGCTGAGACAGAGAATTGCTTGAATCTGGGAGGTGGAGGTTGCAGTGAACTGAGATCACACCACTGCACTGCAGCCTGGGTGACAGAGTGAGACTACATCTCAAAAAACAACAACAAAAATAGAATTAATCCTGAATAACATAATTTTCTTGATGGCCTCTAAGTTCATTGATGGTATATTACGGAGCTCTCCTATCCCATTTGGAAGAGGGAAAAATGAGATGTCAATGGGGATTTTATTTTCCAAAGATGACTGCAATAAAATATTCTCTCCTACATCTAACATGCTCTGTGCAGTGTGATTTTGCAGTGCTCTCTCAATCACCCCCAACGGGTTAGTCTGGGATTTCTACCTAATGGTTATGGAGATGGCTGAACACATGGCAGGTAACACTGGACACATGCAATCAATAGCATTTCATTAGACATGTGAACTCACAGCCTGGGGAAGAAGGATACCACAGGCCATGCACTGCCACATGGGGGTTACCCTTGGGGACCGAGTGAATAATGAGGAGCTTTGAAAAGCAGTCTTTGTAGTAACAAGAAGATGATGTGATCTCAGTTCCTTCTGGAGGATGTGATTGGCTTGTTTAAATAATTCCAACTGAAACACATTGCTCAGAAGCAGAAAGTCCTCTTGACAAGGAGGGTTGTTTGGTTTGAAGACCTTATGTGTGAAAGCAGAGCAGTGAGAGAAACTGGTAGTTAGTCTATTCAAGGACTTCCGAGTTTCACCAGATACCAAGACAGCTCGGAAAACAATTATTTATTTTTCTACACTCTCTGCTTCTGACATCAGATGTACATTGTTTTTTATTCCAACACTGACCAATTCTCTGATACCAGCAGAGTGTCCTATAACTCAATTCAATTTCTACACTCTCTACCTAGAGTTATCATCAGATCCCACAGATTAAGGGTCAGTCTCACAAGACTCCTGCAATTTCAGATTCCAATTATAAGTTCACATCTTCCCTATTTCTAACTGACTGACAATAAATTGGGGGCTCCAACAACCCTCCCTCAGGTTCGATAATTTACTACAATTGCTCATAGAACTCAGGGAAGCACTTTACTCACATCTACCAGTTTATTACAGAGAACACAACAAAAAATACACATAAATAGCCAGATAAAGGAGGTGTCCTGAGCCCAGGAGCCTTTCTGCCGAGTTAGAGTATGAATGACTCTCCTTCTCCCCTTCAAATGTATGTGTTCACCAATCTGGAAGCCCATCAAGGCTCACTGTTGACACATTTTTATAGAGCGTATTCTTCAACGCCTCCCCGTATATTCTTCTCTAGAGTGTGTGGGTAGAACTTAATGTTCCGACATTTTGGTTTTTCTGGTGACCTCTTGATTTTTCTGGTGACCACCCCCTTCCTGAAGCTTTAAGGAACCACCTTAAAGCAATCATTAGCATAAAATCAAATGTCATTCAGTAGGCCACCATAGGAAGAACAAAAGACATGCCTATCATTCAGGAAATTTCTAGAGTTTTAGTAGCTCTACACCAGGAAGCAGCAACGAAGACCGAATACATTTATATTGCTACAGTTCCACATAAGTTTGGGCCTTAATTTTAAGCCTTACCTGACACATGCCTCCAAAAACAGCTGGTATATAATTCCTTCTCCTTGTGACCAAAAGAATGTGGTAAAGTGATGCCACGTGGTTTCCAAGGAGATGGTCATAATACTTCTTAGAATGCCGCTTTCTTTGGAGTGCCTCATAACCCATCTGTGAAGCAGGGAGAAGTCCAAGTTTCTTCATGAAGAGGATCAGATCAAGGTAGCCAATTGAGAGTTTCTGGATTTTTCTCCTTGCAAGAACTATCTACTCGAATAAAGGAAAAAGGGGAGGGAATGGGAGAAAAAAAAAATCCTTAAAGGTAAGCATATAAACAAGAGACTCTTTTAAGACAGAAGAGATGACATTATCTTTTAATTGACAACTTTAAATTCTTGACATTACCTGGGGAGAGAACTCTAATTAGAAGAGAGCAGCAGGAGAACATCAGGAGATTTAATTTTGTTGAACATCTGATTTATGCTGATAAAAATACACTTGTTGCAGGTACTCTCTCAGGCTCCTCTCTCTCCTAATGTTCACCTCACCTTTTAATGTATTCATTCATTTAACAGCTAACACATGCTATCTTGGGTCTGCAGTGGGGCCTGGGACAAAGGGAACAGAGGTAGGAAACCCTTAAGAACTTCACAGCTGACACTGCCAAGAAGAATTGGGAAGAGTACAATGTCTTGTCATAAGTTCTCTTAGGTATATGGTACCAATGGGAAGTGTCAACTTCTGTAAAATATTTAGAAGAGATTTATTATGAGCCAAATATGAGTGACCAATAGCCCATGACACAGCCCTTAAGAGATTCTAAGAACAGGTGCCCAAGGTGGTCAGGCTACAGCCTATTTTATAAATTTTAGGGAGACATAAGACATTGGTCAACACGTGTAAAATGTAGATTGGTTTAGTCTGGAAAGACAGGATAAGTCAAACTGAGGGGTGTTTCCAGGTCACAGAGAGATTCAAAGATTTTCTGGCTGGCAATTGGTTGAAAGAGTTAAGTTATTATCCAAAGACATAGAATCAATAAAGGAGAATGTTTGAGTTAAGATAAGGGGTTGCAGAGACCAAGATTCCCATTATGCAGAGGAAGCCTCCAGGTGGAAGGCTTCAGAGAAAAATAGATTGTCAATGTTTCTTATCAAAGTTGTTTCAGTCCTGGATCAGGGAAACGAAACTAATGAACTAATGGGGATTCTCTGCAGAATGTAGATTTTTCTCACAGGAGACAGCTTTGCAAGACCATTCCAATATATATCAGAAAAATATAATTTGGGGTACAATATTTCAATTTCTTTCAGGGTGTGCTATCTGCCACGTAATGCTGTAGGAGAGTCAGGCTAGACTGCTTCAAAGAGTTCACTTCGTCAGTGTTCACATCCATTTTAATGTGAATGCTGGTCATTTGGCCTGAATTCCAAAAGACAGGAGAGTATAATGAGGGACATGGATTCCCCCTTCACGTCATGACCTTGTTACTGGTGGCAGGTGTCTGAGTTACCCTGAGTTACCGGCGGTGAATCTGCATGGGTCTGCAGCAACTTCAGTTCTTGCCTCCTTAGAAGAAAGGCTTTGAGGAGCATAAAGCAGAAAGCGAGACCAAGGCAAGTTTTAGAGCAGGAATGCAAGTTTATTTAAAAAGTCTTAGCCTGTAATCCCAGCACTTTGGGAGGCCGAGGCAGGTGGATCACGAGGTCAAGAGATCGAGACCATCCTGGTCAACATGGTGAAACCCCGTCTCTACTAAAAATACAAAAAATTAGCTGGGCATGGTGGTGCGTGCCTGTAATCCCAGCTACTCGGGAGGCTGAGGCAGGAGAATTGCCTGAATCCAGGAGGCGGAGTTTGCAGTGAGCCGAGATCCCACCATTGCACTCCAGCCTGGGTAACAAGAGCGAAACTCCGTCTCAAAGAAAAAAAAAAGTCTTTAAGGCGGGGCACAGTGGTTCAGGCCTATAATCCCAGCACTTTGAAAGGCCAATGTGGGTGGATCACATGAGGTTGGGAGTTCGAGACCAGCATGACCAACACGGAGAAACCCCATCTCTACCAAAAATACAAAATTAGCCAGGCGTGGTGGTGCATGCCTGTAATCCCAGCTACTTGGGAGGCTAAGGCAGGAGAATCCCTTTAACCTGGGAGGCAGAGGTTGTGGTGAGTTGAGATTGTGCCATTGCACTCCAGCCTGGGGGACAAGAGCGAAACTCGCTCTCAAAACACAACAATAACAATAAAAAAGAATAATGGCTTTAGAACAGGAAAGAAAGGAAAGCTCACTTAGAAGAGATCCAAGAGGCGTGCCTGAAGGACAAAGAGAACATTTAACCTTAATCTTAGAGCTTTATAGATTTGTCTCTTTCCCTTGATTCTATCCTTAGGGTGGGTTTCCCTCATGCCCAATGCCCTCCTTACCTTTGGGAACTGAGCACACGCAGTGTGTTTAGAAAGTCGCACTCATGCCCATCCGAGGCTTTCTTCCGTTTTTCCAGCGGAGTGTACCCAGAAGATCATCTTTCACCATTTAGTCTGTTAGTGTGACTGCCCAGGAAGCTTTTTCTCCCTGGCATCTGCATTCAATTAACACTTTAATGATAATAGCTGTGGATTATCACGAAATGGCCTCTGCCTGGTCGTGGTTGGGCTGCCAATTATCATTTTTAGAGAGGCACTCTGATAATTGGCAAACCATCACCTGACATTTCTAGTGGGTGCGGAAAGAGCCCTCTCCTGCCCTCCTCGTGCCTATCTAACTACCTGTAACAGCCTGAACTAGTTTTCAGGTTGTGAAAGGAAAATAAATCTTGGGAATCCCACCCCCCAAATCACTAAGCCAAAGGGTAAAGTCAAGCTGAGAACTGCATCAAGCAAACCTGCCTCCTATTTTATTCTCAAATAAAATAGATACAAAGATTTTTTCTTAAAGCTACATACCTCCCTCAAAATTTGCCCACAAGGAAATTCCTATGAACCTCGAAGTCATTCCTCTTCCCACCTGAGACAAAGACAGATCTGATTGCCTTCTTTGCCCTATTGTTACACTAAACCAGACTAAGGCATACATGACTATTCCTTTACCTTTCTCTCAAATACAAATTGTGCATTTAGTTAAAGGCTAACCAGAGACTCAAAAATAAAAAATGCAATGGTTTGTCTCTTATCTATTTATGACCCGGAAGCCCCTTCCCCAACTTCAGCTTGTCCTGCCTTCTTGGACAGAATCAAGGTACATCTTTCATATATTGATTGGTGTCTCATGTCTCCCTGAAATGCATAAAATCAAGCTGCACCCCAACCACCTGGGGCACATCTCATCAGGACCTCCTGAGGCTGTGTCTCTGGTGCATCCTTAACCTTGGCAACATAAACCTTACACCTTGATTGAGATCCATTTTAGATACTTTTGGGTTCACATGGTTAACTTTGGAATGCCTTTGCCTGAGAGGAGTGGTCTATTCAGATGGCTGTGGGGTGGGGTGGCTTAGAAATTTTATTCTTACAGTAGCATAGTGGTGGAACAAAGAGGCCCTGAAGCCCGTATTAGAGAGTAAGTATAGGGAAACAGAGGCATTAAAGCAGATTCTTTTTCTTCCCAATACTACCATTAATAAACTAGAAAGCAGTACATAAATGTAAAATTAAATAGCATTATAAAGGATCATTCTTCTGTTCCTTCATGAATTAGTACTTCCTACATGCTGTCAACTGAAGAATGACAAAGTTCATAAACTTGGAAAAGGGAGCTTTATTTTTCATAAAGGGTTTTAGCCTGCATGGTGGCCATTCTGACGAGCCTTGTCCTTCTGTGATAGTCAATATTGGGTATCAACTTCATTGGACTGAAGGATGCCAAGTATTATTCCTGTGTGTGTCTGTGAGGGTGTTAAAACAAGATTAACATTTGAGTCAGGTGTAGTCAGAGAGGCAGCTCCACCCTCAGTCTGGGTGAGCACCATCGAATCAGCTGCCAGCATGGCCAGAATAAAAGCAGGCAGAAGAACGCGGAAGGTGAAGACTTAAGTCTTTTGGCCTCCGTCTTTCTCCCGTGCTGGATGCTTTCTGCCTTCAAATAAATGACTCCAAATTCTTTAGCTTTTGGACTCTTGGACCTACACCAGTGGTTTGCCAGGGGCCTCGGGCCTTCAGCCACAGATTGAAGGCTGCACTGTCGGCTTCCCTAGATTGGAGGTTCTGGGACTCTGGCCTCCTTGCTCCTCATCTTGCAGAAGGTCTATCATGGAAGTTCACCTTGTGATCATGTGAGTCAATTCCCCTTAATAAACTCCCTTTCATACACACTTCTATTAGTCCTGTTCCTCTAGAAAACCCCGACAAATGCAGCCCCCTCACTGGACTCAAGTACAAAATTGATGGTTGTACCAGCATGATACTGAGGATAAAGTTTTTGGCCCTCTGACATCAAAAGGTGAAGCAGAGGACAGAAAAAACCTTACTGTGCAGTCTCCAAAGACTGGCCACAAGCACTCCATAGTCCCTGGTCTCTTATCAACCATGAAACAGAGGAAGCATCAGGCTGTTGGTTGATATCAGGTGGAGTCTTTGAAAGGGCTGATTTCTGGTAAGCCCTTAGAGAAGAAAGCCTAATTGTGGTGAGGGAGAAGGGCATAAGGAACTCCTATTTAGTCATGGCTGGAAACTCAGTTTTCAAGGTTGCTCTGTGGTCCCCTTGGCCAAGAGATGGTCTTTTCAGTCAGTTGGGGGCGGGGAGGGTAGGACTTAGAATCTTACTTTTCGCTTACGGTGTTAAAGTCTAAACTTCCCAGATTTCCTTTTCTTTAATTCTTTACCTATTCATCTCTCATTATGCCTGAAGCAGAACTGAGTTTTATACAGTCAGAAAAAGGTACCCTGTCAACCTTTCAATCTATCAAGCTCAATGTCATCTTTCCACTCTAACAAGGCGTGTTTCCTCACCCTCATAGTCAAGAAACAAATTTTGCATTTGAAAGAGCACATAGGTAGAAAAAAAAGAGGTTGGTATGTTTGAGTTTGCTTTGCCGTACATTTGCTATACTCACCCTGTCTAGTTCAGAACACGCTTACCTTGAAATGGACTCTTCAGATAAGATGGTTCTTATGGTTCTTTCTGCTTTACAATTCTATGAACCTATGAGATCTTTTTGGTGAAAATATGCGATATAATTAGATGGAAAAGAAAGCACCTATATATTTTACTTGTCAGACTTACGTCCAGGGGAACATGTTTAAATTTCTCTGAATATAATTTTTATTTCTTTTAAGTTAGTGTTTCTAATATCAATATCACAATATTTATGTAAATCTTGGCTGCCA